TAGACCATTGGAGCAATGCCCAGAAAACTACTTATGCAAATATTAACCTCTAGTTAATGGTATGTGTTAACAATTCTGAAACTTTTTGTGTATTATAGGATTGAGCAAATGGGTAAATATGTTGAGGCTAACAGAAAACTAGATTTCTCATTCCTGAAGAAAAGGAATCACAATATAAAAAAAAGGGTGCTCAATTAGAAATTGGAAGTATCAGTTAAAATCTGTGGTTTTTTAAAAAGACACATACACACAGAGAAATATATTTATGAAGTATACATACACATCCACTTAAAGTTTCTAGAAGCAAAGATACCCTATTATCAATGAGCATATATAATGCCTTAATACTGATTTCCAAATACTATTTTCCACTAAAAGGAACCGGGGCTCATTGGAGAAATGGCTGACTGCAGTGCTAAGGCAGGGAAAGTAAAGAAGATTTGACATATCTTCTGCCAGAAAGTAATGAAGTGCGCATACAATGATGAGGACATGTCAAAAGGCCACAGAAACTTGTATGGAAGGGCTCCCACTGGCCAAATCTGGGACAGTTTGAACATAAAATGAAAAACAATAATGTGAAATCACTGCCCATAGAATAAGAATTTACAAGTCCATATTAACGTGGAAAAATAAATAGAATGAATAGTAAATAAGTTATACAGAGCTAATGCACAGCATAATCAATATAGACAATAATAGTAAAATTATGTAACGGGATAAATATCACATATCATGAATCATATTACACTATGTAAACATAAAGTACCACATTATAAACCTTAAATTCACATAAATGTAATAAAAATGAATGAATGAATGGAGTGGTAAAAAAAAAAAGTCCTTTATAATAAAATTCCAGCTACTAAATCAGGAGGAAAGCTGAAATTAGCAAATCACCAATACAGCAACAGCCATCACAGTGACAACTATTTTAGGCAATGGATATTAAAACTAAAGTGTGAAGGACTTCCCTGGCAGTCCAGTAGTTAAGATTTCGTCTTCCAATGCAAGCGATGCAAGTTCAGTTTCTGATTGGGGAGCTAAGAACCCACATGTCTCGTGTCCAAAAATCCAAAGCATAAAACAGAAGCAATATTGTAACAATCAATAAAAACTTTAAAAATCGATCACATCAAATAAAAATCTTTAAAAAAAAACCAACAACAACGAAAGGGTGAAAAGTTTTAAGAAACAGGCTGTTTATATAGTCTCAATATAGTATCCCTACAAAAATGTGTTTTTAATTACAAAGAGAAAAACAGTAAGAAAACTGTAAGAAACAACCTTAAGTAATCAAAGTTAACATTACCAGGAATAGGATAAACTGGCAGCATTCATGATGTAATGAAATGAGAAAGACACATTATTTTGGCCAAAAACCCAGACACCCACGTTGGGATACATTGTATTAAATACTCAACCCTGAACTCTTCAAAAATTTAAAGATCATAAAAGACAAAGAATGAGGAAATGTTCCAAATTAAAGGCCTCCATGAGACATGACAAATAAATTAGCCTGATACTGGTTTGGATCCCTACTAGAAAAACATTTTCTTATAAAGAACATTATTTTCACAACTGGCAACATTTTTAAAAGGTCTATGGATTAGATAATGGTATTGTATGAATGTTAATTTTCTGATTTTGATATTTACGTAAGAATGTCCTTGTTCTTAGAAAATATACAATGAGTATTTAGAAGGGACATCATGCCTGCAACTTATTTTCCAATGACTCAGAGGAAGAAAAATATACCACACACATACACACACAGACGGTAAAATGTGGTGTGATGTTAATAATCAGAGAATCTAAAGGATATAGGGGATTCTTTCAACTATTCCTGCAACTTGAGGTACTGCAATAAAAAGTTACTAAAATACTATAAACTTTAGAATATTCTAAGTGTTTATATTTATAATATCAAAGTAATAAAGGATTTTTTAAACATGGCACAAAAACACAAACATAAAGGATATGGCAAATAAATTTGGCCATACAAAAATACCATGAAGAGAATGAACTAATAAGCCAAAACTGATAGAAACTATTTGCAACATGTAAAACCAACAAAAAGACTAATGTCTAGGATATTAAAGAATTCCTACAAATAAACAAGAAATGACAAGAAACTAAATATAAAAACAGGCAGAAGAATTAACAGAAAATTCATAAAGAATGGCCAACAAACATAAGTTCAACTTCATTGATAATTAGGAAAATTTCAAAGCAGCACTGTTCATAATAGCCTCAAACTAAAATAACCCATATGTCTATCAATAGTAGCATAGATAAACCAACTACAATATATTCATACAGTGGAAATCTATACACTTGACAGTGTTGAAAAAGGATATGCAAGAGCCATATATGTGAACATAGATGAATCAAAAAGAAAAACTGTGATTCCGTTTAAATAAACTTCTAAATGTAGGAGAAAAATTTTTAGTACTCAGGGCTGCATAATGAATAGTAAAAAACCAAAACCGAACCACAGGAGAAAAGCAAAAAAGCAAAAGCAGGACTACCATAAAAATTTTGAGACTATAGTTATATTGCAGCAGGGAGAATGGGAACACAATAAATGAGAGGGGTACAAATGGTGCTTCTACAGCATGTGTCTACATTTTATTTCTTAATCTGGGTAGTATGGATATTTAACACTGTATTCAGGGGCTTCCTTGGTGGTTCAGTGGTAAAGAATCTGCCTGTCAATGCAGGAGGATCTTTGATATAGGAAGGTCCCACATGTCACAGAGCAACTAAGCCCATGGGACACAACTATGGAGTCTGTGCTCTGGAACCCAAGAGTCACAACTACTGAAGCCCATACGCCCCAGAGCTCATGCTCGGCAACAAGTGAGTAGACCCTGGCTCGCTGCAACTAGAGAAAAACCCACACAGCAATGAAGACCCAGCACAGCCATAACTAACTAAATGAAATTAGTAGAATAATGTTAGACATTACTTGAAAAATTAAAAAATTATTAAAAAAATATATTCACATATTTTTACAAGCTTTTCTATAGAGATAATATATAATATTATCTCTAAAACAGGTCAGGAAGACCCCAGAATGCTTACAACTTAGCTCTAAGAACCTGAAAGGGTAATCTTTAAAAGGAAGAACAGCTAATGAACTAAGGAACAGAGTCCTGGAAGTGTAGCATTTTCGAAGCCAAGAGAAAAAAAGAGGGAATAGTGAACCATGTCAAATATTTGTGAGAGGCAGAGTAAACTTTCATATGTGAACACCCAAAGGTATTGTTCTCTGTTTGATAATTACTTATCTTAGAATGTACATACTCTTTGCAATGACAAAGGACTTATTAACAAAATAAGGATAGCAACATTTTGATAATTTATTAACAAAATAAGGATAGCAACATTTTGATAATTTATATTCAGAAACCAAAATTCTTAATCATATTTTTTCAATGTCCTCCTCCCACAATGCAGAACATTAATTACACCAAAACAGTATGTATTCAATTATTGGAATATGCGCAGATCTGCACTTGATAGCCAAGCTTTGGCAAACTTGAATGACAACCCCAGTTTCTATCCCTTGTTATTAAAATGCTAATTACAAAGACCTTTGGCTCTGCCAAGTTGTACATATGAGCAGAGGCTGATAACAAATACAGCTCCCTTCAGTGTCTACAAGGGATTTGTTCCAGGACACTCCCAGCCCCCAATCCTGTAGATACCATCAAAATCCAAGGATTTTTTAAGTCCCTTTATAAAATGGCACAGTATGTGCATATATAATCTCTGCCCATCCTCCTGTATATTTGAAATCATCTCTAAATTGCTTATAATACCTAATATGTTGTAAATGCTATGTAAATAGTTGTAAAGACAATGTAATGCTATGTAAATAGTTGCTGGTACAAGGCAAATTCAAGTTTTGCTTTCGGAAACTTTATGAAACTTTTTTTTTCTCCAAGTATTTTTGATCTGTGGTTAGTTGAATCCACAGATGCCAAACCTATAGATATGTCAAATGTATAAAACACAAAAACTTGGTCAGACTAAAACAGAAACTTTAACAATTCAGGGACATGAACTGAACAATCAGTTCATGTTATAAATAATAAAAAGCTTTTATTTTAAATTTACTGTTTTCTAGAAAATTTGGACAACTATTTGGCTAAGGATTCTTTTTTCTCACCTGTAAAATGAAGATAAACTAAATACCACTTAAAGTCTCAATTAATATTTTATGGTGTCATCTGGGAAAGAAAAATCAATCACGAAGGGTAATAAAATTTAATACCTTATCTAAATAATAAACCACATTTGAGTGCCACAAAGCCAAAAAGTACATTAACCTAGTGATACATTCAACTAGGCTATTCACTACTTTTCCTTTTACATAAAGGTTTACTTCAAAAGTTTAGATTACTGAGACCTGATTTTAAATAAAAGAAGAAAGTTCTTCAAAGCAACATTGGCATGAGTAATGCAGAATTTTATTTTTACTAGTGCAAAAATGCAATTTCACACAAACTTAGGGTAATGATGAAAAGTTTTGATGTTAAAAAAACAAAAATACTCTTCCTTGAATAAAGATAGAACATACTACCAATTTAGGCCCTTGTTTTAAAATATCACTACTTTAAAAAGGAGAAGTATTTCTCTCAAGAGCACTTATGTCAATATTTTGCTGGCTATAAATCAACTTGTTTAAACCAATGGTAATATATAAGACTATTAATTTCAGACAAATGATTGTATGGTTTATAAAGAATGAGCAGTATTCTTTAATTAATGTTAGAAAATAAATTCAATTTTAGGTATCCACTTGTTTTTGACAACTAATATAATCTACTAATATTAATATTCAGTTAATGAACATTTTTGTTCCACGAGTCTTCCTTCTCTTTAGAAATCCTGAGAGAATCCAAGAAGAAATCAGCTGACATATATGGATTAACAAATTAAAGTTTTAACTTCAGAAAGCTTGTTCTATGACCCAAAACAGAACTACTCACCAAAAGCAGCAGCCATAGGGGGTTCAAGGGATGGCTGGCCATCACCAGTGGGAAGGTCTAAGCGAGTGAAGTCTCTGCTTTTGTCATTATTATATTTCACATTAAGGCTGGTGAGCTTGGAGAAGTCAATACGCAGAGTGCAGCATGCATTATAGATATTCTGGCCATCCAGAGCCTAAAGCATGTAAGAAAGGGACTGATGTTTTGCAAGACAACAATAAATCAAGTAGCCTCTACTTTGACAAAAAGTGGCAATCAGGCATAAAGCAGAGAGGACTAAACTAAAAGCCAAAGAATTGTATTTCCTTTACCTTTATCACTAACTATGTGAGCCTAAGAGAGAAAATGAAAACTCTATTTCTCAGTTTTTTCTTCTGTAAAGTGATAATCTCTATTTTATCTATGGTAAGATCAAATGGAAGAGGAGAAATGTATAAACTTGAAAAACTATAATACATTATTGTACACTGTACTAATTATTATGATGATTTTTAAATGCTTAAATGTATTTAAATTTTACATTTCATCTTAATTCATGTTAGTGTAGTTTATATATGTTAAGATGATATAAAGTGTTTGTAAATGGTACTTGTCAGAACCACAATATATGAAACAGTATCAACCACTTTTTTGTTGTTGTTGTAAATTTATTTCTTTTGAGTAACAAGCTTGAGGGAAGTTTTAAGTCAGAGCAGATACAAGACCAAAAATTAGCAATCTCTTCTTTCATAATGATAAAGATCTTCCAGAGGGATATTAATAGCTACTTATGACTTACACAAACACTTGATTTTACAAAAAATAGATACCAGAAACTAAAACACAAAAAATAAAACAAATATACTAAAAAATGCTTACTTATCATAATAGTTACTAATGAGTATGCCATCACAAAGGTACAGAACAATACATGCAGGTGGAGGATACAGCAAATATCAATGTTATTCCTAGTCAAGAGCTAGATACTATGTGAAACACAAAGTGCTGTCAACCTTAGTCTCTATCTTCGGAAAAAATTAGAAATGATTCAGATACTGACACAAGATAGAGTTAGGGACAGATCTCAATAGGAGATGGATCAAACATAACCAAACTGAATGTGAAGTTTTATATCTTGTCCAAAGTCAAGCACTTATGTGCTAAATAGAAGACAATATGAATTGAAAGCAGCATATTTCCTAAGATTTAATGTCTATCAATTTAGAGCTCAATGAGATTCAACAGTGAATATGGTTGCAAAAATATAGAAATCAAGCAATCTTTGGCTCGCTTAATAGAAGTAAATGAGGGCACTAGGGCAAAGATAATTCTATTCTATTAGTTAGATTATATCAGGAGTACTTTGCTCAACTCTAGACTTCAAATATGACAAACAGAAATGAGTCCCAGAAATATAAGAAATGAAAGTGATTTGAAGCCTTTGCATATGAAGAGAGAAGTAGCTTTTAGACTATAAAAAGAGCATATGTAACAGTATGTTTAAAAATGGTAAATTAATTTGTATATTTTATTACAATTTTTAAAAAAAATAGTAAACTACAGCAAAGGAGAAGACATGATGACTTTCTTTAGTATCACTGAAGTGACTATAATAACAATTGGAAAATGAAATAAAGATCATAATTACCATTTTGGCATAATGTGCATTCGATGGGTCAGCATACTGAAGCAAGGCTTGAAACTGATTATTCTTTGTAAAGGTGATAATCTTTAAGACTGTGCCAAATTTAGAAAATATCTGGAAAAAAGTTCACATTAGGTTAAATTTAAGGGAAAAACTTAGCTAACTTATCTTTATAAATACAACGTGATTCATAAATCTCAGTTTTAAATGAAAATAATCTCCTTTATTAAAACTACTGGTACCAAAATTACTTAAATCAAGCCTAAGATGTTCATGTTCTAACACCCATTCATGGCTGAAAACAGTGCCTGACATACAACAGGAGCAAAATATTTAACCTATTTTATAACTTGTCATAATTGGCACAGTACTGAAACAGAAGGTTACAACAGGAATTAATTAATGCTATGAGATAATGGTGTTGCAAAGCATATACCTGGAAATGGAAGAGTCACACAGATCAACTATTTCAGCCTGAGAATCAGCATCTACTTCCTGAAATTTTTATAGAAAGGAAAACTACAAAATATTCAAAAAAATGTCCAATGCTCTATTAATTCATCAAATAGTCATGGAGAATCATTGTAAACTCTGAAAAAGTCAGGAGTGAACAAAATAGAAACAAGAATTTCAGCACTGGTTCATCAATTTTAAACAACAGCATCATACTAATGCAAGATCTTGATAATAGGGGGAACAGTATGTCTGTGGGGGTAAGGAGGTATATGTATTCTGCTCAAAGTGTTTTGTGAACTAAAAATGCTCTAAAGAATTCTAATAAGAAGACAAAATGTGAAACGGGAGAAAAACTAGAAAAGGCAGAAAGCAAACGGGGGAAGAAATCACAAACAAACGTACTAAGTAGGAAACAGTTATCAACTTGGCAGATACATGTCCAGATATATCTTGGCAGATATATAAAAAAGTCACTTTAAACGCCAATGTTCTAAATACGCTAATTAAAAAACGTAACTGTTAGAGTGGGCTTTAAGCACACGCCAAGACCCAACTCTAGGTTATTCGAGAGAAATCCACTTTAAAAATAAAGACTTAAGCTAAAGAGAGAGAAAGATACACCATGCTAACACTAATTTTTAAGAAAAGCTGGCAGAGCTATATTCATTTCCTACAAAGCTGACCTCTGAAGAAAAATTATCAGGGATAATGAGGGATGCTATATAAGATAATGGGAGTCATTTATCCAAGAAGATAGAACAATCTTTAAAATATATGTGTGTAACAAAAAAGAACCAAAATACTAAAGAAAAAAAGCTGCTAGAACTACAAAAACACTATTGTTGTTGGAGACTTTAATAATATCCCTCCAATACAGACTTATGAATAAGTCTGCATTGAGACTGTGAACAAACGTATGAATACCAAAGGGGACAGGGGTTGGATCTAATTGACATTTATAGAATAATATATCCAATAACAGCAGAATATGCATGAACACCACGATAGATATATTCTGAGCCATAAAGCACACTTAAACAAATTTAAAATAATAAAAATCATACAATGTATATTCTCAATTATAGATTTAAACAAGAAACCAGTAACAGGAAAAAACACCTAGAAAATCAGAAGGAAGGAAGGAAGGAAGGAAGGAAGGAAGAAGTCTCTGCTCTTGTGAGGAAAGACAAGACAATAAATAAGCAAATAAATAACAATACCTGGTCATACAAAAGTATTTTGTTTTAAAGATAAAAAGGAAAAGGGATGAGCGTGATGCAAGTTGGGAAGGTGCAAGGCTACTCAAGGAAGGCCTCTCTGAAGAGCCTTTGGAGAAGAGGAGTGAACAGCGAGGGGAAGGTTTCCTGACAGACCCCTGGTCACCAATGCTCTTACAACACTTGCTCTACTTCCCCAGCACAGAAGTTCACGGCCGGAAGTTCCTACAATGCATTATGCTTTCCTCCGACGTCTCGTTTTACATCTGGATTTTAATAAGCCAGAAAGGTGTCCTGCTTCTTAAATCTAAGTATTCCCTATGCTGGTAAGAATTTGCTGTCATTACACACCATGTATATGTTTCCTTAATAGGCATATATCCAGCTTTTTTATTATCAGAAAGAATGATCAAGAATAACTATCCTAGAGGATAGGCAACAAAAGAAAAAACAGAAAAATACAACTACATCAAAATTAAAACTCAGGTTCACCAAAAGACTATCAAGAGGATTGAAAAGGCAACCCACAAAATGAGAGGCAATATTTGCTTATCATTTATCTGATAAGAGGTAATATATAGAAACATGAAAAGAATTCCTACAAGTCAACAACAACAAAAACCCAATTTAAAAAACAGGCAAAGGATTTGAAAAGAACTTTCTTCAAACAAAGGGCTTCCCTGATAGCTCAGTTGGTTAAGAATCCTTCTGCAACGCGGGAGACCTGGGTTCAATCCCTGGGTTGGGAAGATCCCCTGGAGAAGGAAAAGGCTACCCACTCCAGTATTCTGACCTGGAAAATTCCATGGACAGTCCATGGGGTTGCAAAGAGTCAGACACAACTGAATGACTTTCACTTCGTTTCTCCAAAGACAATCAAACAGCAGTAAGCACAGGACAAGATGCTCAATGGCAACTCAAGTGTCACTCACAGATGAGTGAATAAACAAAACGTGGTGTATACATACAACAGAATATTATTCAGCTGTAAAAAGGGAGGAAATTCTCACACATACTACAATACTGATGAACCCTGAAGACACTGTTATGTGAAATAAGCCAATCTCAAAACAGCAAATGATGAGTGATTCCACTTTTATGAGGAACCTTGTTGTTTAGTTACTAAGTTATGTCCAACTCTTACAACCCCAAGGACTCTAGTCTGCCAGGTTCCTCTGTCCATGGGATTTCCCAGGCTAGAATCCTGGAGTGGGTTGCCATTTACTTCTCCAGGGGACCTATGCGACCCTGGGATCAAACCTGTCTTCTATATTGGCAGGCAGATTCTTTATACCACTGAATAGAGTCAAACAATTCTTGTAAGAGATCAACAAGACTCGTGAAACTAATTTGTCTTGGAAGGGATTACCAGAAAATTCCATTCTTAAAGACGTAGTCTGAAGGCTATTGAAATTTAAGATGTTTTAAAAAAATATAGTTAATTTCATTATGGTCATAATTCAGGGTTCAAGATATTAAGACCTTAATCCCTCATATAACTCTATTTTGAAAAACACTAGGAAATTTTTGTTTTGCTCTTTTAATGAAAGGTTTGGTCTTATAATAAGCACTTCCTCAATACACCCTCATATCCTAGAGAATAAAGTTTATAAAATAATACCAGGGACTTCCCTGGTGGTCCAGTGCTTACCAATCTGCCCTGCAAGGTTTGAGCCCTACATTCTCCTGGTAGGGAAACTAATAAGATCCCATATGCTGTGGAGCAACTAAGCCATGTGCTTCAACTAGAGAGGCAGCGTGCCGCAACTACTGGGACCATGCACCACAATGAAATATCCCACGTGCCGCAACTAAGGGCTGACGCAGTCAGATAAATAAATAGCTTTAAAATGTATATGTGTGTGTGTGTATAAACACACACACACACATATATATAAAAGAAGATATATTTAACTGCCTAACTTCCCTCCTTCATACTGCAGACACAAGTAGTGTTCTAAAGTACAAGCCAGATTACATTTTTCCCTGCTTAAAATTCCTCACCATCTCCCCATTACCCACACAGTAAAATCTAAGCTCTCTGGTATAACATACACAATCTCTCTCTCTCGTGTACCTCTCCAGCCTCATTTCCTGACACTTTTTATTTTACACTACTTATTTATACTTTTTATTTTATACTATTTACATCAACAACTATAATGGTTCTCCAGATACACCAAGTGGTTTCAGAGTTCTAAGCCTAAACATGTGACTTTTTCCCTGTTCCTGTATCTCTTTACATAATACCTAGGAAATTTTCATTTATTCTTTCAAAACTCAGCTCAGGCAATAATGCCACCAGAAAATTCTTAGCCTCACCCAAACCTCAATAGAGTTCATTTTCTTTACCAAATATTTTTATCCCCTTCCTGGCCTCATACAAATACTTGTCTTGCTGTTTTCCTTATACTGTATTAGACATTTGTCTATATATGTCTCCTTTAATTAGACCGAAAGTTCCTTGAAGGTATATTGCTTGTCTTGGTCATTTCTTTAGCATTGAGTACAATTTCTGGCATGTAAGAGGCACAGGGTAAAAGTTTATTATTAACTGATAAAAAAAATTATACTCTGACCTGACTGAAGAATAATGGCAATATGCAAATTTTAAAATGATAAACGTTTTTTATGTAAACTATCTTGTTAAGAAGTAACAACAATATATAGTTTGCTCTAAAATTTGGGATTTTTATACTGTATTATGGTATAGGACCTAGTTAATTTCCACTTAATCTTCAGATTTTGTTAATGTTTAGATCCCTTTCTCTCATTTAATTTGAACAAGAGCCTGACGTATATCCTCCCTGGCAGATGTGTTTGGCTGTTTAATTTTCATATGAATGTGCTAACAGAACATAAATGTACTCATCTGGCTAACCATGCTCTCTAGAGCTCCCTGGACTGTACTTACTGAGGAGCTACAAAGATCAATCTGATATTATTAAATAAAGTAACCAAACACCAGTATCAGGGAATTCAGCAATGCCTCAAGTGTGGTTTCTAACAACTTTTTATAATTATCAAAATACTTATTTTTAAATAGATTTGGCCTCAAAAGATCAATGTTTAAGAACATTTAATATATATTTTTATTGATTACAAGGTCTTTGACTACTCCCTAATATATATATACTTTACAAACACACATATCAACTCTTGATATGTCTTGTGCATTTTAATCTTTTCAGATTTTAAAATGGGACTAATAAAATACAAGAGATCAGATTCTGATAACATTAATCTTCAGAGTGATGAAGATTAATAAAGCGTGATAAAGAGAACTTGCCAGAAACTGAAAATGTTCACGAGTAGTCACTTGAAAAAAGCATTATTCATACTGGAAATTTCTAAAATAACAAGCACATTGGCCACAATTAGTTTACAACAGTCTCTGTGGGCAGCAAAAAAGGAGACTGAAAAATGAGAACCCGGGGGCTTCCCCAGTGGTTGGGTGGTGAAGACTCTGCCCGCCAACACAGGAGACGCAGGTTCCATCCCTGATCCAGGAAGACCCACACGCTGCAGAAAGCTAAGTCTGTGTGCCCCAACTATTAAAGCTGTGCCCTACAGCCTGGCAGCCACAACTACTGAGCCCAAGGGCCGCAACTACTGAAGCCCACACGCCCCAGAGCCCGCACTCCGCAAGAGAAGCCACTGCAATGAGAGGCCCATGCACTGCAGTTAGACAGTAGCCCCTGCTTGCCACAACTAGAAAAAAGCCTGCAGAGCAACGAAGACCCAGCAGTCAAAAAGAAATAAGTAATTTTTTAAAATTAGAATTTTATATTATTAGCGTCGATTCTTTTATTTGATACAATACCTGAAGAGATTCATCTATTGGACATCTGTTGGACATAACTAACACCACACATGATGGTACTTCAAAGTAATAAATTCCAAAAAAATACTGTTTTGCCTTACTCTGTTAGTGGACAAAGAAGTTTTTTAGAATGCAAGGTTGAGTTTACATAACGGATCAGTTGATGAATGCCTTCTTTACCTACAAATACTAAGTGATGCCATTCAATCCCGTGGCCTTAAGTGCCAATCATATGCAAATGATCACCAATTTTCCAGTTCTGAATTCTTATGCTCAATACAGACTTATTTCCCAAATGTTTCTTCAACATCTCCCACTAGACGTTGAACAGGTATATCCAATTTAAGTTGAAAATACACTCTTGATTCCTCCCCTACCTCCCACCCTTGCCCCATATCTTTCCCCCACTCTGTCCTTACTATCTTGTATAAGATGGCTCTGTTTTACCAGAAGTTCACATTCACAATCTGGAAAGCATTGATGGTTACTCTCTTTCTCTTCATAACTCACATCTACTCAACCCATCAGCACATCTCTCCAAATACATATGTAATCACCACTTCCAGTGCACACATCCCCACCTGGGTCACCACCATCTCTCATCTGGACTATGCTAAGATCCTTCACTTATGCCTATGTGTGTGTGTCAGTCACTTAGTTGTGTCTGACTCTTTGCGACTCCATGGACTGTAGCCCGCCAGGCTCCTCTGTCCATGGAATTCTCCAGGCAAGAATACTGGGGTGGGTTGCAGTTTCTTTCTCCATCACTTATGCCTATAGTTCATTCTTAACATAGCAACAAGAGTGATTCTGTGAAAACACTCAGCCTGTCATCTCACTCCTCTACGCAAAATCCTCCATGGCTTCCTATTTTACGCAGTGGTCAAGATTATAAAGGCTCTGCATCATCAAGTCTTAACCCCTTCTCTGAGCCTATCAGTCATAGCTTTCCTTTTTTTTTTTTTAACATCCAATGACAGTCTTTTTTTGGTATCTGAATACATTAAGCACACTTTCATTTTAGGGACTTTGCACTTGCTGTTCCTTCTGACTGGATCATTATCCTACCACATATACACATAATTTAACACCCTTACATTCTTCAAGCTTCTGCTCAAATGTCATCATATTGTAAACACTTCCATCATTTGAAACTTCTCTCATCTGAAATAGCACCATTCCCATCTCAGTCACTCTTAATTCCCCCACCATGAGCTAAAGGAAAAACATTAGCTTCCATAGATGTTAGAGAGCAGTTTAGCTAATGTCAACTCTTCAGCAGAAAATACAGAAAAATTTGCTAATTATAACATGTGCAACCAACTCTACTCTTCCATGTATTTCCCAGTCACAATATTTATCACATTTCATGCTATAACTAACATCTTACCCAGAAGGCCACAAGAGCAAGGATGTGTTTCTCACAAAGCAAGTGCTAGTTTCTTACTGGCATGTACTAAGCACAGTGACATTTCTTGAGCACTGACTGTCACAGGCACTGCTATAAGAGCTTCAAATGCATCAACCCACGAAATCCTCCTAACACAGGTACAGAATAGATACCATCTTCACCCCCACTATGTAAATAAGAAAAAGACACAGAAGCAGCAACTTTCTTGCCCAAGGTTATAAAGGTAGTAAGTGGTGGAGTTAGGGTTCGAACCAGCTCCAGAAACTGTATCCTATTATATGCTATACTATACTTAAATCAGCTAATGGAATAGAGTGCTGGGGTTAAGGGCTTAGTTAATGTAATTAGAGAAAGACACTCTGAGGAGGTGAATTTGAGCTGAAAATGGAATGATGTAGATTCAGCTAAGTGACTAGACCTAAAAAATAGAAGACAGAAATGGACTAAGACAGAAATAAGAAGGGTAAGAGGAAGAGGGTCAAAGAGCCAGAAAAGCTGGGGTGCTAACTAAGCAAAATAGTCAGGAAGTGAGGTTGCAGAGACAGTGAGAGGTCTGCATATTGTGCCACTAAGGGCCCTGGTAAGGAATTTTGCTTTTTCCAACAGCAGTGTGAAGCTGGATTAAACAAGAGAGTGCTAGAACTAAAGGGCTGAAGAGTCCTATTCCAATGGTTACCTCTGAAGACTCAGAAATACTTCTCTTCACTTGAAGGACCCATGATCTTTAGGGAGAGAAACAAGGTTTGTTACTGGTCTCAGGGAAACGACAAATGGAATAACAAAAAAGGACCACACAACCTGGGCTAAGTTCACTGCTGACTGCTGCCAATGTCGAGCCACAGGTGCAGTAACATCTTTTGTGAAGCAACAGAAGTTATCAGCAGCAGCGACAGCACTACAGGAGCAAAAGCAAACGAGAAATGCTGATGAATCACAGAGAGCTTGATGCTACTCGGTGGGATAAACAGAAGAGGCGAAAATCCATCAGGACAAAGAAGCCAACCAATTAAGTAACTGCTGAACCCTTTTAGGAAACAACAGTGGCTATGAATACCACTGCTAAAGCCCTCCACAGGACATGCTTCACAAACGCACATATTTAGAAAATGGTACTCAGGAAACTATCACAGGGAATAGAGTAGGCATAATAAATGATATATTTTGATATTTACACGCACAGCATGTGAACCATGTGCTGTGCTTAGTCGTTCAGTCGTGTCCAACTCTTTGCGACCTCATGGACTGTAGACCACCAGGCTCCTCTGGCAAGGGGGATTCTCCAGGCAAGAATATTGGAGTGGGCTGCCATGTCCTCCTCCAGGGGATCTTCCCAACCCAGGAATCAAACCCAGGTCTCCCGCACTGCTGATGGAGTCCTCACTGTCTGAGCCACCGGGGAAGGCCAACATGAACCGTATCAGGAAACATATCTGAGCTCTTATCACCAACTGGTACAGTGACTGTGGGGAAAGTAGCAACTTCTAAGGTCCCCAGTTCCCTTAGTTGTAAAATGTGAGAACAGGAGAGGATACATTTCAATTCTTAGATATAAGCACACACATACAACCCCCCGTGACTCCTCATTCAGTAGTACAAACCCAAAGGTTTAGAAAACAGTTAAAATGATTCTAAATTGGCCTAGGGTTATGCTGTTTAATATTATATATATATTGGGATATAAATAAGAATATAAGCATATAATATGTTTCAGTGTTTTAAAATAATTTTTATATATAGATTATTAAGTATAATGAAATGGAATACTGGAGCTGACATCAGGAGGCTTGAAGTCTAACTGGTTCTTCAATTACTCCTTACAATACTGAACTCATCAATTATCGGAGGTTTAGTTTTATTCATTACAATTATGTAATAACTACGTGACAGATCTTGTAATTCTTAAATTCCGTCTCTTCACAGTAGGCCATGATGTGATACACTGCCCCTTATCAAGATGGTTTAGACACAGTAATGGACAGTCTATGAAAGTTATGCTGAGAGTCAGTATTTAACTTGATACTTCCATATTACATGTGAAGTTACTCATTATCTTCCTTTAAGAGTTTTTAAAATAAAAGTGCTCAAATATATGGAGGAGTCTATAGAAATACATTTGCTGTTTTCTATATTGATGTTACTTTCTCAGGAATAACCAGTACCAATTTTTTTTAATAGGAGTCTATGCTTTGTTCATTTTCATGCTTAGGTATAAAAACACAGAATTCTTACATACCTTTTAAAATCAAGTATTTAGGTTAGAAAAAGGAGGCTTTCAAAAAAACTATCTCTAATTGACACTATTCCTTGCATGAAACAGGATGCTGAAGACTTTTATTATTTAAGTAAATATATTAACCAGAATCACACAACCTGAAAAACTAAAGATAGAAAACATTAAAAGTTACAGAGGTCATATTTGACTCTGCTTTCTTAAGAGTGTTCCTCCTTACCTGATGAAGAACGTCCAGGGTAACAGGATAAAAGAGGTTCTCAATGATTATTCGGAGCACAGGGCTCTGCCCCGGCAAGACTGTGCCTTCATTGGGAGGAGCTCCAGGAAGGGCCAGGCTTCCTGACTGGACTGCACCGACGGCCTGCAGCGCAGCTTGGGCTCTCTACAGAACAATCCAAAGTGAGAACTTGTGGTTATACAGACACACTAGATAATCCTTAGCTGGTGCAAATTAATATGAAGCACTACAGTTAAATAAAAATATACATATCTGGTAAACTTTCTCTGGGATGCATATATCCTAATATTGTAATCAGTCAAGAATCAAAAGTCTTGTTTTCTTATCACAGTGACACGATATTTAAGAAAGTTGCTTAAATTTACTTGAATAAATGAAAAATGTACAGCCAAAAAAGAAGAAAACTTGTATATAACTTTCATATCCTGATTTTTTAATGACAAAAGGGAAGCAAGCAATGTGAAAGTAACATTAAAGACCACTTTAAAAAAAAATCACTCAAATCCCTCTTGGTGGCATATGACAGGCATACACATGGAGGAGCTGCGGTGGTTCAGAATGGGGCAGGGAGGGCATCCTGGCATGGAGCACCAGAGCCTGAGCAAAAGGAGGAAAGCATCCATCTGCCTGGCAAGTGGGACCTGAGCCCAAACAAGGTAAGCAAGTCATCTGTGAGTAGGTGGCTCACTGCCAGCTGTCAGAACCTGGGGAACATAAGAAGGGTAAGAAAGATATCCAGAGGGGAGCAGCCTAGCCAGGGTTATCAGAGCCCAGGGAGAGTCAAGAAGAGGGCCACCAAGAACTGGGGGCTTCCCTGGTGGCTCAGCAGTAAAGAATCCACCTGCAATGCAGGAGATGCAGGTTCGATTCCTGGGTCGGGAAGATCCTCTGGAGAAGAGTATAGCTGCCCACTCCAGTATTCTTGCCTGGGAAATCCCATGGACAGAGGAGTCTGGCGGGCTACAGCCAGTGGAGTCACAAAGAGTTGGACACAACTCAGCAACTAACAGAAGCAGCCGCAGGGAATAGGTAGCCAAGGCAGTAAAGATAATTCGAGTAGCGAGGTCAGTCCATGGAGCCTGAATGGAGTAAAGAATTCAACGGAGAGGCAGCCTGGCATGAGATGTCAGAACCCAAGAAAAGGAAGGCAAAAAAGTTTCTAAATATGATGCTCTATTAAAAGGAACCGGGGCGCTCTAAAAAATGTCTAGTTCTAAAACTGGAGCAGGAAAGCACAAGATGAGTGTACAACATTTCCAGTTTTGTGGGGTTTTCTTGTTGTTGTTTTGTACCAGAATGCAAAACAGTTTTCAAAGAACAACAGAAGCAAGCCAAAAGGACACAGAAGACAGCTTGAAAGAGGCTCCAGCTGGCATTATCTGAGAACCAAAATAATGACTGTAACAAACAAAAACCCATCAAATAAAACAGGAAACCTGTAAGTCCACAGGCTGATAAAAATTGACAATTGATAAGGAGCAGTCTATTTACACTGCCTTAAAGTACCTCCCCTCAAATACTCTTCTTTCCCCCTTTGTAAGTCATAACTTTATAGTGGAGAAACCAGGCAAACACCTGTCAAATCAAGTGATCAAAGAGCACACCATCAGCAATGCAGCAAATTGAAATTATGTGCCACCTGATATGATGCAATGAGAAAAAAAGAGCATTACTTCTGTGATGTTCCTGTCAAAGCTGCATACACTGAATCTTATCACAAGGAAAGATCAGACAAACTCAAATTGAGGGACAGCCTAGAAGATGAGTAGTCCATAATTTTCAAAAGTATCAAGGTTATGAAAGTAAAAAAAAAACCAAAAATAACTTACTGTTTCAGATAAAGGGAGACTAGAAGATATGATTTCTAAATGGAACATGCGACGCTGAATAATGCTTATTCTGCTGGAACAAACATCACTAGGACAACTGGCAAAACTTGAATGGGGACTGAGGCTTGGAGGGAAGTAATACATCAATGTTAATTTCCTGATGTTGACCAGTGTATTCTGGTTTTTAAGAGTACCCTTCTTTGAAAGGAATGCACACTGGAAGTTTGGCCAATGAAGACAGGCCAGATCAACAGTTTTTCCCCAAACACCTCAAGTAATCAGAACTTCTTTGTATTATATTTACGACTCTTTAAAAATTTCGTGACTGTCTCAAAATTTAAAACAATTATTTGAGTGAAAAGGGGGAACTGAAGAGAAAAAAAGTATGGTTAATAATTAAGTTAATAATTAGTGAAATTAAATGCAAGTTTTTAATCAATCTTTTGTTCTTATAATTTCCTAACAATAGTGATAACGAATAAAATGTTTGTGCCACAAAATGAAAAAAAATCCCATGACTTTAATGCAGATTCTTTCATTTCTACATCTTGTATTCACTTGCAATTTTAAAGATAATAGTATTGTTTCACAGTACTTTGTTATTTTATATTAATATTTATTTTGTTTTCATGACTTTAATTTTAGTTTACTATTATACCACCTTTCGAAAGTGGGATGAGTAGCTTTTTAACATTTTGTTATGAAAAATAACATTAAAATAAATGTCTTTCTGAAAAGTGGCAGTCTTTTCTGTATGTTTAACAATTGAACAACTTCCACTTTTGTACTTATATACAACTCTTTTTTAAACCATTTAACAACATTTTTATGCCATATAAAGACTTTTATGTATCAAGTAATACTTAAAATGCCAAATGTTCAGTTTCCAAATCATCTCTGAGAATAACATATGAATTATTTGAATATTTTATATCATTAAATATATATGTGCCTGTAAAGTCAAGTGTGTGAAGTACTGAGCACCCCAATTCTGCTTCACACAGAGCAGTTTATCTATTTTATACTGGGCAACCCAGGAAGATTTTATTTGGAAAACAGGGTTGTACTGCTTTTAAATTTGAAAACTGGCTCACAGTCCCACTTTAAGCCTTTAAATAGGCAAAGATGAGGTTCAGAGGTCATTCAAAAAAGACTCAATTAACATGGGGATTAGAATTAGCAAACAAGAACATTAAAGTAGTTATTACGTCTGTATCAAGTGCTCGCGCACGCGCACGCATGCACACACACACACACGCATGTGCACGCACGCACACACACACACACGAAAGGTTAAGTAGACACATGGAAGACAAACAGTATTGTCCAACAGAATTTCCTGTGATAATGAAAATGTTCGACATCTACAGTAGATTGGATACTAGTCACTGGTGGCTAGTGAGCACTCGAAACATACCTAGTGCAACTGAGAAACTGGACTTTTTATTTTTAATTTATTTAAATTTATTCACATTTAGCTAGCAGCTGAGGGCTTCCCAGGTGGCTCAGTGGTAAAGAATTCACCTGCCAGTGCAGGAGATTTGGGTTCGATCCCTGGGCTGGGAAGATCCCCTGGAGGAGGGCAAGGCAGCCCACTCCAGCATTCTCACCTGGGGAATCCCATGGACAGAGGAGCCTGGCGGGCTCCAGTCCACAGGGTCACAACAGAGTCGGACACAACTTAATGACTAAAGAACAAGAAGCAAGCAGTTACCATACTAAACCTATGAAACAACAAGCTAGCAATCACTCTCAACTTTAGAATGTTCAGGAATAAACATCAAAACAGTGAGGCTCTCAGTGGAATAATGGTTCCTTTTTCTTTCATCAGGATGGCATGAGAGAAAAAGGAACCATTCTTCAAGATTTAACCATCTTATCAAAACTAAGCCTGAATAACTGAAAGTAAATTTAACTTCACTGACATTTTTTTGGGGGGGGGGGCCACACTGTGTGGCTTGTGGGATCTTAGTACTAAGTGTGGAGTCCTAAGCACTGAACCGCCAGGGAATTTCCAACCTCACTGACTCTACTTCCTTATCTACCAATTATTCAATCAGTTCTTTTATTTAACAATTCTATATATATGCTTACTACTGCTATATTATAGTTATTGCTGCTTTTGTTGCTGTTTCTCTTTCTTCACTCCTTCCTCTTTGGCATAAAAGATACACACTGGAGAAATATGAGAAGATACGGTATGTATTGTCTTAATCATTCTACAGTTGTCAATATACTCCGCATTAGTACTTCACAGAGCATTGAGTACAAAAGTCTCCACATAACAGACATGCAAAAAAAAAATTCTTTTGACAATAAAAATCTGAGAAAGATTTGTCTAATAAGTAACTCTAGTTTCAATTTTTAATTAGGCAAAAGTATTTAAGGAAGAAAATGAAAAGTAGAGGGACACTCTTCACTGAGGACAAAAGAAAAGTGAGGGGGAGAAAAAAGAAATGTCTTCTTAATATGAAGAGACAGGTCAGGTACACAAAAGACATATTTTCTGTGTATCTGATGCTAAACATTATGAGGCAGCGGAATTCTTATTATGGGAGGTAATTTTTCAGTGTTTCAGCCACAAACCCTTTGGAATGGTTACATTAACTAGTAGTAACGCAAAGAGCAGTACTGTGATGGAAAAACCAACAAATACTTATTGAGGTTGGGAACATATATATACTTCATGTAAAATTTAAATATGCCTAGAAAATATAAAAAAGGTATTTCTATAGTTGAGATAGAAATGAATATACAACAAAATTCACAGACCTTAAATGTTCAGTTTGATGATTTTGGGGGAAATTTTTTAAGGAAAAATTTTTCCATGGTCATAATTTTGCAAATTTATAAATTTTTACCCACAAGACTAAGAAAAACTGTCTATACAAAACTGAATGCTATTAATACAACCATTTCTCAAATGCTGCACCCCAAAATACCATATAAAATTTTTAGCTCTAATTTTAAAGCAAGGGAGGAAAATAGTTGATATTCACCTGACCCTCTGCCAAGTATGTCCATAAGTATGTTTTGGGGTATCTTGCTATTCAGAGAAGAAAAGAGAATGAAACAGTAATTTATCAGCTTCCTAGGGCTGACAGAATAAAAAAAAACACCTGGTACCTCTCATTAATACGTATGTAAACAGATACCTTCAATTTTGACTTCAGCTTTTGTATAGGACTCTGAATAAAAGAAAACCATATTTTATCAAAAGTCAATAGAAAAAATGGACAAAAGTAACAAAATGGCAAGGGTACTGGGAAGAAACCAAGGCTATCTAAGAATAAACTAGGTCATTTGGGCTGGCTTTGGTTGCCAAGCAACTGGGATTTCTCACTGTTTCCCTTTAGAATAATCCAGTCTTTAAGAGTTTTATTAAATTGTTTGTTTCTTCTTCAAGACTTAAACTAACATAATTAGGAATCACACTAATGACAAAACTGCATGACTTATACAAAGGAGAACTGAAAATTCTACTGAGAGATAGGAAATAAAATATAACTTCCTCCTCAAAAGGATTAGTTAGCAATATAGACATGTTAATTGTCTCCATATTAATCTATAAAATCTACCCAATTCCACTGTGTTTTGGGGGATTAGGAGTTATAAAAATAATTCTAATATATCCTGAGAAATAAACAAAACCTATTATCCATTTAATTTTTAAAAAGAGAGGGGAAAGAATTGAGCCTTGCCCTACAGTAGGTTAAGCCACAGGGACACTGGAACAGGAACGGAACAGAACAGAATCCAAAAGGTAATCCAGATTAGACAAGACTGCATACCACGTGGGCAGCACACACGAGGGTAGATGGAGGTCATGCAAGCGAAATGTGTGGTCACGTCATGTCTAACAAGTATATTTATGCAAGTTCTAAGTAGGTAAAGCCTGTGTATAGAAAAGTAGAACATGACAAAGGACAAGTTTTACATGAGTGGATAATAAATGGGTTATTCAACCACAACAAAAGAGAAACTGGTCAGTGGGATTAAGTGAAAGACCCTAGCCTCCCTCTCCACCCACAAAATAGTCTTAACAAAGATTTAAACACTAAAATGAAGACAACCAAAACATTAACGTATAAGAAAATATAGGTAGAAAAAAAACTTTTTAATCTTGCTATACTGGGTTTTTATGAGTATGGTACCCATGTCAGAGATCATAACACAACTTAAGAAATTCGACTCTTACATAAAAATAATTTTAAAAATGAATTAGCAAACAAAATTCAGAGACAGAAAACAGAATGGCAGCTGCCAGGTGCCAGGGTAGGGGCAGGGGGAAATGAGGAGTCAGGATTTAATGGGTACAGAGTTTTAGTCTGGGAAGAGGAAAAAGTCCTGGAGATGGATGGTGGTGATAGGTTGTGCAATGTGAGTGTATTTAATGCCACTGAAGTGTTATTCACTCGCTTAGTCATTTCCGACTCTTTGCAACCCCACAGACTGTAGCCCACCAGGCTCCTCTCTCCATGGAATTCTCCTGGCAAGATTACTGGAGTGGGTAGCCATTTGCTTCTCCAGAGTATCTTTCCGACCCAGAGAATGAACCAAGTCTCCTTCATTGCAGGGAAATTCTTTACTGTCTGAGCCACCAGGGAATGCCACTGAATCATACACTTAAAAATGATTAAAATGGTACATTTCATATTATATACATATTTTATCACAATTGAAAAAATGGGGAGGAAAACTGTATTAACAGAAATCACTATAAATACTTCACAAGTTATTACATAAAAGTAAGTAAAACAATAAGATATAATTTGTTAACTATCGTACTAACAAAAATGGACAGGAAAATCGCTTGCTCATATATTATCATTATATTATCACATATTATCAGTGGCATCCTAAATCATCTTTACAGAAAGCAATATTGCAAGATTTATCAAAACATAAAACATACATAGGCTAACTACCAGCAATTCTGTTGCCAGAAACATAAACTATAAGATAATGCTGCAAGTATGCCAAGATATATAAGAATGCTATTATAGTACTATTTGTAAAAGCATAACATTGCAAACAATCTCAATGTCTATTAACAAGAAACTGGGTAAATTATGAATGCCGTTTTGAAGCAAGTATTATGCAGTCATTTAAAAATGATGAAGTAATAAAAAGTAAAATAAAAAGTATGAAGTAATTGCATATTTCTTGTCATGAAATGACATCACTGACCTACTGTAGAGAAAAAATAATAGCTCTTAAAACATTAGGATTCCACTGGTGTAAAATTATATACATAAACCTAACCTGAATAGAGAAAGGTACACAGTAAAATGTTTGCAAAATGTTTATCAGTTATATCTAGGTAACTGGATCATCTTTTATTTTTTTATTTTTCTGGATTGTCTGAATGTTTTACCATGAGCATACATCCTACTTACAAGGCAATGTTTTACTTTAAAAATTGTATACATTTAAAAATATCTAACATTTCATTTACTCAAGTTTAGGTTAATTTATTATATGTCATTAATACGTCTTAGAATAAGTTAAGGATTGGATGCAGGAAATGTCATTGTTTTTAAAAATGTGGAAAACTATAATTTAAATTCAGCAGCTTGCATTATAATGACTTTCAACACAGAAACAAAGAGTTGAAGGAGTTCTTTTGCCTAGAGCAAGGCTATCAGGGCCAAACAATGCTCTCAACATAATATAAAACCTATTTTTTAAAATGTACTTCCTTCATGGATAAATTTTTCCTACCCTTAAATTACTTCAAATTCCTATTTTAACTACTTAAAAAATCAACCTGGAGAGACAGAGAAATTTCAGTATCAATTATATCAAAACTGGAAAATGAGATAAGAAATGTTCAATTTTATATTCCACATTTATCTTGGAGAGTCAAAAATCATTTAATGAACATATTTATATAAATTCTTATTAACATAACAATATAATCACCACTCAACTTCTCAATGCCTTTGTTACATATTCTGTAAAAAGAAAGGACTGACTTCTATAGTTCCTTTAGAGCTGAGATTTTAAAAGACATTAACAATGTACTTTTCCCCCTCTTATGGAAACAGTTTCAAGGGAAAACTGACTGCCTGCCATTTCTAAGGCCATATCCTCAAACATAGTTTCAAATGGCAGTGCTTTCTTATTGGGGTCTTTGGGTAAGAATTTATATATGCAATCTTTATCAACAGAGCATCTCATGATGAAGAAAAACACATGATTTTTTTTCCACTTAAAAATAGAAAATTAGTTATCATGTATTCTTACAATTATTTTTATAAATGACATTAATACTTACAGCTTGATTAGGCAGATTGTCAGTCTTAAGTTCTCTGTGATTGGAATACTGAATAAAAACAGGCTGGCTTCGAAGGTGAGGAGTAACAGGAGTGTAATAATTCACCATAGTAACAGCAGCTTCCTCAGAAGCCATTTCTAAGAAAGCCTGCAATAAACACAAGAAAGTAAAGTGAAAGCTCCTGTTTTAGAAAGGCAGCTAAGAACTATTTTCTCATTCTAGCTTGCTCTAAAACTCACGCATTCTTAACAGAAGTCATATTGCCCCAAAGGGGATGAAAAGACTTACGTTTCAAACTGTATCACTGATAGTTACTGAAAGCATATTTGACAAAAGTTGGGTTCAATAAAAGATTTGGGATTGGGAAATTGACAGTTGATTAAATGACTCTGTGGTTTTTGGTCTTCTTCTTACTTCTGATTCTTCTAAAATTTAGAAACAACTAAAAAAAGCAAAAATAAATGTGTGCATCACTACTATAAATAGATGCATTCAGTTTCTTCCTAAAATTTTCTCCAATGATCTGTTCTACTTTGCCTTTTTATGAATATAATTAGAACATTCATGTGCCAAAGCTCAACTGTACAAATTAGGGAAATGGGAGAGCATCCTACATTAAGTCAATATCGACTTGATTTGGGTCATTCAAGTGACCTTTTTGGCTACTGGTAATCACTATACCCTTGTAGCTCAGTCGGTAAAAGAATCTGCCTGCAGTGCAGGAGACCCGGGTTCGATCCCTGGGTTGGGAAAATCCCCTGGAGAAGGAAATGGCAACCTACTCCAATATCCCTGTGTGGAAAATGTCACGGACAGAGGAGCCTGATGGGCTGCAGTCCATGGGGTCACAAAGAGTCGGGCACGACTGAGTGACTAACACTTACACTTATACTAGCTATTTGAAGACTAAAAAGAACTGAGATCTCAGTGCAACCAAAACTAACTAAATAAACAAAAAACTCAATTAAGTAAATGTTTAGCAACAACAAAAAAAGAACTGAGACCGAAGAAGCTTCTTGGCATTCATGTCTTACTCTGTTTTTGGCTTCTCACTGTCATGACTCCCATTAACTTATGTGGCAGCAACAGGATACTTACAGATCTTTAAGGTGGCAGATTTCATCACCCTGTCTTAATGGTCAAGACAAAACATATACTAACAATTCTGAGCCCTAACTACCTATAATAACACTTCAAATTTAAAGGACAGGAAGAACTCATGATCCAAATCACTATCTATGAAGAATAAAACAGATTTTAAGTCATTCACAGTATCTAAAAGGTACAAATGTCCATGATACACTTTAAAGCTGCTATCCAACTGTATAAGAATACAGTTTTTCTAATATTTCTAAGAGAAGTAGATAAAAATGATCAAGATAACAAAAATAGCTATGGCAGTATTTCCTAATTATTTGGTTTTTTAAAGTCATCTTTTCAACAACGAATTTGTAAACTGTATTCTAATAATATTCACCATATGAGGAGAGTCTCTTCCTGCAAATTCCCTACTAAATGTTGAGACTCCTGCAATGTCACACAAATGAAAGGCTGAACAGTGTCTTTGGATATTGTGATTCTAGTCAGGAAATCATTCCTATACGTATATACAACCTAAAATTTATGTAAAAATAAAATTTTCCACATGGAGTCCAGTAAAAGAATTATTTATGTTTTCCCAAAGTATCCAGCCAAGGATCAACTTTCATAATGCAGGATGAAGAGAAAATCAAAAGTCACTACCCACAGAAAGGCTGGTGAAAATAACCCTTACTCTATCCTCAAACACTCCACCCCCAAGAACCACGGAATGACTATGCTTACAAGTACTACTACAGTGACGCACATCAGAATCTCCTGCATTTTCTGAACAGGACTTAGGGTCAAAAGACAAGCAATTAACAGCAATAAGTTAGCACTACAGAAAAATATAAACCTAGAACCAACAGCAGAAAACAAAGGAAACTGTGACATTGCCTGCTGCCTCTCAGAGTTATTTGACATAAAATATAGGATATACTACACAAAACATAATGTACGTAACATGTGCCTTATAGACATTAAGACAGCCATTAGACATGATCATGTTGGCTCTTTTCAAACTGTGCAAACCACACTATTCTCAATAGTGGCATCTGTAAAGAAAATTAAGATCCAAGTGCCTACACTACCTCTAAAAGATGTAAGAAAAATGTATAAACACAACAAGGACTGAATACTAAGACATACTATTTAACTTCTCCAGTTCTTAATAACCTCAACTACCTTAAACAAGGCTGTTAACTTAACAGTTTACTTAAGATAGGGGTATGAATCAGACATCATTATCCAATCTTGGATGGCAAACAATCCAATCTCTTCTGATAATCACAGGATATTTTCATAAACCTTTTTGTAATTGAGAATGTAAAATATGTTTGGTCAAGATAATAAATAAGAGAGAATCCTGTTTCCTATATAATATTTTTATTTATTGCTTCCTATCATTAAAGAAGTTCTATTTTTAAAAGCTATGTATATAGAATAAAATTAAGAAAAAAAGTTCAAGGAAATAAAAAGCGTTCATTTTTTTAAATTTTGGCTGCACTTTGCAGGATCTTAGTTCCCCCAGCAGGGATTGAACCTGCACCCTTGGAAGTGAAAGCACAGAGTCCTAACCAGTGGACTACTAGGTTATTCCCTTAAAAATAATTTTTATTTTATTTTTTCCACTAACACCCAGAGATAATAATTGTGGGTCAATCGTGAAAACTTACATACCTGGCTTTTTCCTTTCAACATCAAAAGATTAGTTACTTTGCCAAATGGTAGACCTAATGATATGACCTCTGCTTCGGTGACATCACTTGGAATTTTGCGAAGATGGAGAACACGGGAAGGCGAACAGGGAGGTCTATCTCCTTTAAATTTCTTGTTGTCATTCCCATTAGCTAAAAAATACAAGATTTGTTTTTTAATTACTGAAACTAATTTGGGTTGACATACTACATTAATCATATTATCACATTTGACCTTCCAACAGTTTCAGGTTTTGAAGTTCAGGAACTACGGGGCTGATGGGAGGAGTAGAAGACAGCAGAAAACAAAATCATCCACTTTTCAATGAGTGGGTTTTTTAAAATTTTTCACTGCAGGTGTATTTTTTTTTTTTTAACTGAACTTGGATTTTTAACTTCAAGGAAAAGTGCTGGATAAATGAATTACGTATGTTGAGGTACCAAAAACCTCTAAATGGTCAACTATTTGTTGTGAATAGAAAACAATACTTATATTATCTTTAATGTATCTTAAAAGATGCTTTTCTAGTTTGTCCTATTACTAATTAAACAGAATAAAAACTTTTAGGAGAGATGGTAATAAAAATTTCATGTTTATCACATCCTACAAGGATTTGGATTGGAGATGCATGTTTATGAAAATAAGTTTATTTTTCAGGCATTATACAATTTTTGCCAATTCACTTTTTAAAGTACTTTCAGAAGCTAAATTGTGATTTCCTTAGGATAATCCTATTCTTTAATGATATAATAGGCAGGTCTTAACATAAGTATCATCACCTTTTGGAAATGCAAATTTTTAGCCCCATTTCAGACCTACTGAATGAGAAACATCTCAGCAATCTGTGTTTTTACAAGCTCTCTAGATGATTTTGAAGCAATCTAAAGTTTGAGAACCACTGTTGTAATCCAGTATGCCAGTTTATAGTCAAACTTTATTTAAAGCTTATGTTTTAACACTGACAGTAACTAGAACTGAGAAGCCTGTAACAAGTAGTCAAATTTATATACGTAAGATTCAGGAAGGTATTTTTTTCCCCCCAGAAATAGCACCATGTAAGACTGAATGCAAATTATCTAAAAGCCAAAGTTTCATTATAGTGTTGTTTTTTTAATTCTAAATACCATACGTAGCACTATTAGAAGAAAAATACAATCTTTCTGAACACCTGAGATTACCATTTTTCTAAATGCTAAAAAAGCTTCTAAAACACTAAAAAGACAATCATATGTCTGTGACCCTAAATAAACAAATTTCCTGAGGACCGCATAAAAGTCTTGGCAATATTTTGTACCCTTTCCTATGGCACAGAGCACCACTTGCTTATAGGAAAACAGGTTGACTTAATACCAAAACTAGCACTTGCTCCCAAATTCTCTATGTTCATGAACGCAGGCAACATCCTTCCATACTATCAATTCCAAGCGGTCCTCACAGGTCTGTGCCTGTACACAGCAAATGCTTAGGACAGTGTGTGGAAAATAATCAGCAAATACTTATTGGAAATCAAGTACTAAATTTCTGGGAGTCAAAAGGTTCCTTCTCCTTCCTCATGAATTATCATGACACGCTGATTTCCCCTCCGAAATAACTGATTCCACTTTCATCTCGACTCTCAGTGTCACCTCACCTATGACCCCTATGACTGTGACCACTTCTACTCTGCCTTCCTCTAGTGTCACTCCCTCCACTTCCACTCAGATCTGACATGTTATCATCCTAAATGTCTGTGTCATGTCGTCATCCTGTTCTAAAAACCCTGACAGGCTTCCAACTACCCAAAAAGATCTTAATTTCTAGTTTTCGTGCTGTTTTCATTTACACTGCCTCACTGGAGTTGACACACAAAAATACATTAAATTACATCTTATTAACTTTAACAGATGAAGAGATGAAGAGATTTAACAGATCAGAGATTAAATAATTTTTGCACACAGCTAGGAAGTCAAAAGAGCATTAGTCAAACTTCAGTTTAAAGGTAATTTTTTATCACAAAAATCTCAACGTGTGTTACCACTCCTAGGAAAAAAAGGAAGCAACTTGATGATGACAATAAATTTTCAGAGTACATGCAGATTTATGAGGATTCTAGTGAAAATACTGTCGCTAAATTATCACCTCCTGGACAGAAAGTCAAGCATGAAGTGCCTTTCTGCACCTCCCCTCTCTGTGAGCCTCGATGGCTAGACAACAGGCCACAATCTTGTACGTTTTGAACCAGCACGAAGTGTTAGAAGACTACAAAACCATCCTAAGCAGCAAAGGCTTTTAGCAGCTTACCCAGAATAATCCAAAACAAATGAATGTCTCAATGTTTATTAAGAAGGCTATTTCTTTAACTGAGGCGTTCATAATCTCTGCAAAACCACGTATGAAATAAAATGAATACCTACACAAGCTACTTGAACCTGAACTGCACTATCATATAAAGACCAATGGTGACAAATTTTTTATCAAGAAGTATGCAGATACATAACCATTTCAGGTTCTCAGTGGTTCTGTGTTATGAAAGTCTCTGTGCTATGTTAAAAGCACGGGCTACAAAACCAGACATCTTGTTCTGATATAACTGAGCCTCAGATTCTTTTCCTGTAAAATGAGTATAACAGTATATAGAAATTGTAGTAGGAGTATTTGGAAAATTAAATTACACAACGTTAATATTTAAATGCCCATTTAAATGTAATGCCCATTACAAAGAGATCAACAACATATGTCTTGATTTTCTTAAGAGGGCCTATTTTACCTGGAAAGTATGTTCTTTCTACTTCTTTTGGTGTTAAAATGAAGATTGTAGACAACAGTGGCTTTTTTCTCTTGATGTCCTAACTTTGCAAAATTAAGACATTGCTCAAAATTAATTCAAAATTGTATTAGTCTATGAAATCTAAAAACCTAAAGAACTACTCATCTAGATGACACAAAAAAGGTTATAATTAAAGACTTGATAAATAATAACAATTTAAAAATAGAAAGGTATATAAGCATATATAGAATCATAATTTAATTAAAGAGGAAACAAGGAAATTCTACTGTACTGAATATGCAACTTTGACAAATTATTCTCTATACGAAAGATTAAAGACTTTCTGAAAACTGTATTATGAAAATAAGCATTCAGGGGCAGGGGAATAAAAAAAAATAAATAAAATAAAAAAGAAAATAAGCATTCAAAATACTTTAACTTGAATAAATCTTGTACTTTTTGAAAGAAACGTCCTAAATGGCTATTGAATGGCTTCCTAAAGACTAGAGATCTCTTCAAGAAAATTAGAGATACCAAGGGAACATTTCATGCAAAGATGGACTCAATAAAGGACAGAAATGGTAGGGACCTAACAGAAGCAGAAGATATTAAGAAGAGGTGGCAAGAATACACAGAATAACTGTACAAAAAAGATCTTCACGACCCAGATAATCACGATGGTGTGATCACTCACCTAGAGCCAGACATCCTGGAATGTGAAGTCAAGTGGGCCTTAGGAAGCATCACTACGAACANGGAGGAAGCACAAGCTGGAATCAAGATTTCCGGGAGAAATATCAATAACCTCAGATATGCAGATGACACCACCCTTATGGCAGAAAGTGAAAAACTAAAGAGCCTCTTGATGAAAGTGAAAGAGGAGAGTGAAAAAGTTGGCTTAAACCTCAATATTCAGAAAACTAACATCATGGCATCTGGTCCCATCACTTCATGGCAAATAGATGGGGAAACAGTGGAAACAGTGGCTGACTTTATTTTTCTGGGCTCCAAAATCACTGTGGATGGTGACTGCAGCCATGAAATTAAAAGACGCTTACTCCGTGGAAGGGAACTTATGACCAATCTAAATAGCATATTAAAAAGCAGAAACATTACTTTGCCAAATAAGGTCCGGTCTAGTCAAGGCTATGGTTTTTCCAGTGGTCACATATGGATGTGAGAGTTGAACTATAAAGAAAGCTAAGTGCCGAAGAACTGAACTGCTTTTGAACTGTGATGTTGGAGAAGACTCTTGAGAGTCCCATGGACTGCAAGGAGATCCAACCAGTCCATTTTAAAGGAGATCAGTCCTGGGTGTTCATCAGAAGGACTGATGTTGAAGCTGAAACTCCAATACTTTGGCCACCTGATGTGAAGACCTGACTAGCTGGAAAAAACCCTGATGCTGAGAAAGACTGAAGGCAGGAGGAGAAGGGGACGATGGAGGATGAGATGGTTGACGGCATCACCGACTCGATGGACATGGGTCTGGGTGGATTCCGGGAATTGGTGATGGACAGGGATGCCTGGTGTGCTGCGATTCATGGGGTCACAAGGAGTCGGACACGACTGAGCAACAGAACTGAACAGAACTGAATGGCTACTATTAATCAAGTTCGAAAGAGAAAAGTGGAGGAGGTTTTTAAAAAATTCACATATTCCCATCTCAAAAGTGAACGGATCTACCTGAAAAACTATCCTAGAAATACAGATCTTTTATAAAATTTAACTTTATTAGGGCAGATTTTAGATACGGTAAAACCCACCTATATTTTAAATGCAGAGTTTGACAACCTTTGACAAATGACTCATATGACCACAAAAAAGTAAACTGCACCTGAATTTTTAAATTACCAATTTGATTTTTAAAACAGACATAGGGCTATTTGTGTGTCAGTCACTAAGTTGTGTTTGACTTTTGTGACATCATGGACTGAAGCCTGCCCATTCCGTCCATGGAATTCTCCAAGGCAAAAATATTGGAATAGGTAGCCGTTCCTTTCTCCAGGGGATCTTTCCAACCCAGGGATCAAACCCAGGTCTCCAACAATGCTGGCAGATTCCTTACTGTCTGAGCCACCAGGCAAGCCAGTTTTCTATTTCTTTTGTGCTTATGTTTTTCAAGCAATCTGCCCACTTCATCTAAATTTCCTGGCTTAAAACTGTTCATAATTTTCATCTGAGATCTATCTTAACCTGGTCAGGATACCATGACAAAATACGACAGGGTGATTTAAATAATAAAAATTTACTTTCTCACAGTTTTGGAGAATATAAGTCCAAAATCAAGGGTCAGCCCTGTCACTTTCTAGTGAGGACTCTATTCCTGCCTTATAGACAGCAATCTTTTCACATGGTCCTCACATGGCAGGGTGGAGGGAAAAAGCAAGCTCTCTGGTATCTCTT